AGGGAGGAAAGTAGCAGGAGAGGTTGGGGGTGGGGAAGTGGGGTGGGATTGTTGGAGCAAGAGGGGGTGGTGCTGTCAGTGGGGAAGGGGCTAATGGGGGAGAGCAGGGAGGTCGGGGGATGGTGTGTGTGTGTGTGGGAAGGAAGTGTGGGGATGCTGAAGGGGCGAGAGATGGGGAGTTGTTATGGGGAGTGGACAGATCGGGTGAGGGAAGGGGGATTGTCACGAGGAGGAAATATGTGGGAGGCAAAAAGGCAATGGGGATTGTCAGTGAGGAGCTGCTGTATGGATAGAAGGGGTGGAGGTTGTCATGAGGAAGACAAGAAAAACATGGCATGGGGATGACCAGAGAGAAATTACAGGGAGGGAGGAGAGACAAGAGAGGGAATAGGAATTGTTATTGGAGAGGGGAAATGTGGCTAGAAAGAGGGAGGAAGAGTGATGGTGAGGTCCTTATTTTTTGTTTTGGGGAAGGAGGGAGGATGGAAGGGGGAGGAGTGGGGCTGAAAATGGAGGGAGGATGGGGGAGGAATGAAGCTGTTGGGGGCAGAGATGCAGTTGTCAAGAAAGTTGGGTGGTGGATGTCATGTAGGAAGGTGTGATAAGAAAAGTAGGGAGTGTGTGAATGTGGTAGTGGTGCAGTATGCAGGAGACTGGAAGTAGAAAGGTGAGGGTAGACAAAAGAAGTGCTGGGTGGGGACTGTAGATGGGTGGAGAGGAAGATGGTATGTGGGCAGGGAGGAGGGATAGGAAGAATGAGGCTGTGAATGGGGGAAGAGGTTGGAATTGGAGAAGGAATGGGCCATGGGGGAAACAGAGGGCTTAGATGGAGTGGGCTTAATGGGAGTATGGATGGAGTTTGGAGAGGGAGTATTTAGGGGTGATTTGTCATTGATGAGGAGGGATGGGGTGTGAATTATCAATAAATGAAGGCCAGAGATAGGAGAATTGACAGTTGCCAGTTGGGGAGGGAGGAGGTGGTGGTAATGGATGAAAGGTTTTAATGTAATCTAGTGACTGTCTGTCATTAAGTAAAAACTTAACAACAAATAGTCTGGTAGCGCTTTATAGACTAACAAAACATGTGGATGCTATCATGATGTTACAGGAGATATAGGATTTGGTAGACAGGGAGCTCAGCCTACTTAGTCCCATGGCTAATACGCCATTGAAATGCTTTTAACCTTTACAGAATAGAAGGAAAATTATTTGAGACATTTGAAATATGAAATAAGGCTTTTGTGCTAACAACGTCCTTTGTTCCCTGTCCCTTTAGTTGGATGGAGTCTTTAGGAGGAAGCCTCCATAGCACTTGACAACCTCTTAGTATCTCAGATGGTAATAATGGTCCTTTTAGAAGGAGCTTAGTTGAGATAGGCTGGAGCTGCTGCTGCTAAGTCTGATCCTGTTCCATCCCTGATGGTGTTTGGATTTCAGCTGAAGCCTGTTGAGGTGGCAGTGGTATCCAAGTCCCTCTCTCTGGTTTTGTCAGGTTCAGGATAACAAAGGATCCCAGGAGATGGGGGGGGGGGGAAACGGAAGGAGAAGGAGGGCACCCCGATGGTGAAGCTCACTCCTGGAAGTCTTCTCTTAAGGACTCTCAGAGAGTGATGTATGGAATAGCCCATTCCTTAATTATTTTGTTCATTGGTTAGGCCTAGTTTTGGTACACTGATTTCTGGTTTTGCAGTTGCCTTGTTTACCGAGTATTAGCTTAACATAGGCCTTGAGCTATATCTCTCAGCCTTTTTGTTTGGACTAGGTCAGTCTTTGTTTCCCTTTTGTACCTTTTCCCATCCACTTCTGTTGTTATAGGTAGGGATGTAAAGTGTAGTCTAATACATGATTAACGGATAAGTCTAGGCTTATTGGTTAATCCTATCTACTCATGTGTCCTCCCCCCTCGTCTCTGTATCGGGGCAGCCAGGGGGAGAGGCAGGTTGGAGCTGATACTCATGGGGAGCTGGCTTTTAAGCTGTCTCTTCTCAAGTTCTGGCTCTGCAGATCTGCCTCCTGCCCCTCTTTTCTCTCTCTTCTCCCTCCCTCCCCCC